TATATATATATATATATATATATATAGAGAGAGAGAGAGAGAGAGAGAGAGAGAGAAAGAGAATGGATCATATGAAAAAGAATGATAGTGAAAGAAATAAGAATGATTCTAGACCACTAGATCTATCAAGTTATTGGTCATGATCAAGTCAAACATGGATGACATTATTGTAAATAAGTGAATATAGTAAGGTCAAACATATGTATTTGACCATTATTAAGGACAAATATGTCATTTTTCACATGGCACTTGCCAATGGAACCCACCCCAAACAACTCACACGTCACATTCTCCCTCCCAACCCACACACCCTTTCATCTCTCTCACACACACGTTCAAAACACACACATGCACAGACACACATTAGTGCGTACAAACACACACATCACGCACTGTACACACCAAACAACACACATCGGACCACCAGTTCGCCGCCGAAGTCGCCGCTAGAGTCTACGCAATCTCGTCCCTCGACCTCCATTGGAAAAGTCGACACAACAACCGTCCGTCGCTGGACCCTAGATGGACCACCGCACACACCAGGTCTCACCCCGCCGAAGTATCATCCCGTCGTTGTCGTCTTCCCCACCGCCCTGTCGCCGTTAACACCATATCTGCCACTGAAACAGTACCGTTGAGCGCTACGGTGGCATTCACGGCCACCATCCCCAAGTCTCCGACGATGGAGGCGTTTGATATCAGAAAGGTGGTCTCCGGACAGTGAAGGTCCTCCGGCGGCCGCAGGGTGAGGTCCTCGACGGCGACCGAGATGAAAGGGCAGGGCGTGTTTTCATATTAATGGTAGGGACTTCTTGTTGTAAATTTGAAAAGTCTTATGGGCATAGGTGCAATTTCAACAATATTTGGATATTACAAATTAGTTCATGGGTTAATTTGTAATTACTCGAACTATTATTAATATTTTAATATTTCAGTTTACATTTTAGTATTTTTTTCATTTTTTGTGGCTGAAAACAGATAACATTAAAAATATAATAATAAAATTAATAATTTATTTTTACATAGTTCGGTTGTCTAAATACAAAAAATCCGATATCGAACCGGCATAATTGAGTTTTTAAAAGTAAAAAAAAAAAACGGCAATTGAACCGAGATTAAAAAGTTTGAACTGAAATTATTAGTTTGAACAAAATTATTTGATATTGTGCAATCCAATAGTTTGTAATGTGCAATTCGCATAGACTTAATGTGCAACCGCAATATGTAAAAATATAAAAAATAGATATAGTATTTTTTCATATTATTCGGCAATTTCAGTGATTTCAGTTATTTTAAAAAATAAAGCATACCCTGGACTAAAATATAAATATTTAAATATTTTTTTTATTTGTTCAGTTTCAGTAGCTATTATGTAATGTGCAACTATTCTAATACTACTGTGCACTTACAGTGGATTCAATTTTTATGAAATGCACCGAACCAAACTAAAAATGGATCGACATGATTGATTTAGTATGTCCGTGAATCAAAACACCATGCATAATCAAAATAATTTTTTATTTATATTAGCATTATATATATATATATATTTTGTTGAGGAAACCTAAAATATATATGCGACAAAATATAACAAAATATGAAAATATACTAAAAAGTTGTGTCGACCTATATTTTTTAGATGTATGTCGTGCGGTATTTTGTTAGAAGTTATCGACATTAATTTTGGTGTGTCGTGATAAAGTGCAACGTATTATTTTATTAAGTGCAACATTTTTGTCTATAGAGTGCAACATGTCGATTTATAAAGTGCACTACTGTAACATAGGTACGTTAGCATGTATGTGTTTTTTGCGTAAGTGTGATGGATGTTAAACTATTATGTAGATACATTTTTTAAATTTATTAACATGTGGTATTTTGGTGGAAACTATTAACGTTAATTGCGGATTTGTATAAAGTGCAATGAGTTGGTCTATGGAGTGCAACATGTATTTTTATAAAGTGCATATATAAGGTGTCCTATTTTATATGATCCAAGATAAATTACGTTTATTCGAAAACTATTTAGTATATATAATTGTACATTGAATTAACCTAAATAAGTAAAATAATCTGTTTTTTATTATTATAAAAGCATAATTAGAATTTTATTTTATTTTTATATGTTTATATACTATTTTTGGTTAAAAAAATATAATATTTTAATATTTTGGTGGAAACTATCAACGTTAATTGCAGATTTGTATAAAGTGCAATGTGTTGGTCTATGGAGTGCAACATGTATTATTATAAAGTGCATATATAAGGTGTCCTACTTTATATGATCCAAGATAAATTACGTTTATTCGAAAACTATTTAGTATATATAATTGTACATTGCATTAACCTAAATAAGTAAAATAATCTATATTTTTATTATTATAAAAGCATAAGTAGAATTTATTTTATCTTTATATATTTATATACTATTTTTGGTTAAAAAAATATAATATTTTAATATATATAAGGATTATATATATAAGATAACAATCTAAATACATTTTTAAAAATCACATTGCCTATGAACTAAATTGAAAATAACCAAAATTTGTAAATAGCCCCTATTTCTCTCGTTCTTGAGAGTGTCCTTCTCTCGTTCTTGAGAGTGTTCTTCTCCGAT